TGAATTCTGTGTCCCCTCAACCAGTCTGACACCGGCCAGGCGCCATGGGAATGGTGTCTGTGTTGTCCCAGCACCTTCTCCAGGCATCACCAAGGTCTAACTGGCAGGGAGACCGTCGACGCCACAGTCACCCCAGGTCTTCGCGCTCTCTTCAGCAATGTCAGCCACACCAGATGCCTCAGACTGGAGTGTAGGAACTCGCGGGAGGATCTGAAACATGAGCTCGGTGTCTCCCAGGCGAGCTATCTTCTCGGCGCTCACCCCCACCTCTTCTATCCACACCAAAGGGGCACACATCTCCACAAACTGAGGCCCACGCCCTGTCACCTTCACACACCAGGCAAACCTCATCTCACACGCATTGGCGACAGCCTACCAGATACTCACATGCTACAGGAGTTTGAAGGGTGGTCTTGACCAGAGGATACATTGTAGGTGAAATTGATGATGTCAGTGCAGAACCAGTGCTCCTGCTATCATTGACTGCAAAACTTACATCTATTGAATTTCTTGTGGAGTTGTCACTGGAGTCTAATGATTGAGTAGTAGTAGCAAGATGCTGAGAGCTGGAAGTGCTTGAGACAGCCACTGAGGACGCGGGGACGTGGGTGGTGTTTGTCAAAGAGACGCTGCCGGAGTGTACAGGGGGAATGACCACTGCGGCCATGTTGTCTAGGGTAATTGAGCTGCTGCTTGATGTCGGAACTTCTCCACTGGTGGGCAAGACTGTGGCAGGGGAATGGGAGGCCACGGGTCTCAAGGTGGTGGAACCGACAGCAGGTGGCCCTCCTATGGTGCCAGGTGACAAGGTGGCCATTGTTGTGTGGCTCTGGTGGCTGTCGCCGAATGCGGTGGAGATGAGGGTTTTGCTGGTGTGTGAAGGTGACAGGGCGTGGGCGGTTTGTGGAGATGTGTGCCCCTTTGGTGTGGATAGAAGAGGTGGGGGTGTGAGCGCCGAGAAGGAGTAGGTCGCCTGGGAGGACACCGAGCTCATGGTTTCAGATCCTCCGCGAGTTCCTACACTCCAGGTCTGAGGCATCTGGGTGGTGGCTGACATTTGCTGAAGAGAGGTGCGGGAAGACGCTGTGGTTGACTGTGGCGTCGACGGTCTCCCTGCAGTTGAGACCTTGGTGATGCTGGAGAAGGTGCTGGGGACAACCACAGACACCATTTCGTGGCTCATTGGCTGGTGTCATGAGTGGTTCAGATGGATAAGCATTCAGTTTTTCCCTCCGTTGTCTCCCTTCACTTGAGGGAGTCATGAAAATTTTTGAACCTACCTGATGTGGATGTTTGTGAGGGTAAACGTCCTGAAAACAACGTACATACTTTTTTTACAGCCACTCCCCATCACTTACCGTCTCCCTCTCTTTCCCTTTAACCTCTGTGGAAAAATTGTCATTTATCAATCCGGTTCCTCATGCCTAAAGTTTGGGATTGTTTGTTGAGTTAATTTAGAGAACTCCCAATTATACAGGAGAATTTATGAGGGTTCCAATTAAAATGGCATTCTCTCTTCTCTGGAATAATGTGTGTTTGGTCATGGACAGGAGGACCCCTGACTGATATTCAGATATATAATTATTTTGCTTTCCTTTTGGTGTTTATGTGGGCAGTCCTTGCAGGTATTTTCTCCACCAATCTTTTCCACTATTTGCAATCCGGAACTTCTCCTTCCTGCTTGTTTGTAGTTTTAACTGAGATCAGAATTCATTTTGTAGTTTTGTAAAAACCAAATGGGGAGGATGGTGGCTCAGCTCAATGCTAAACTTAGTGAGCAGATTCTTAGAATATCACGACCTTATGGTAGCCAGCAAGGCCATTGGATTGTTCAGTCTCAGAGGCCACAGGGGCTGGGGCTCAAGGTACCTATGAGTACCCACAAAAATGTTTTCATGTGAACTTCTATTATAATTATAAGAAAGAATATCAACATAATAATTAATGAATCCAGCCTTTATTGCTACTCTTTAGACCAATGCAGTTATAAAATACAATTTCTAATGTTTGGCCATGTGAGATAGCTCAGGCCTGTAATCCTGGCACTTGGGAGGCCGAGGTGGGAGGATGGATTGAGCTTAGGAGTTCGAGACCCGCCTGAGCAGCAGTGAGACCCCATCTCTACTAAAAAACAGAAAAAATTAGCTGGGCATGGTGGCGCATGCCTATAGTCCCAGCTACTCAGGAGGCTGAGGCAGGA